TATATATATATATATCCACGTGTGTTTGTGCGTATATGTATATTATAATTTGTGTGTTTGTTTAATATTGGTTATTGGCCATAAGGGCAATAATTATATCGAATATTGATATCGGCTGAAATTTTTATATCTGTGCATCCCTAATCTTGTTTAATCACCTGGAATACCACCACAGTACGAGGAAAGCCAGAAAATGCAGACCAAAGCCACAGCATTGGCCAAATGCAAGCGCAGTTGTCATGTAATAATTATAATTGTTATGGGCTAAATGCCACCAGTATTGCCCAACCCTATCATCCATTTTATTTATGGTTTATAGTGTAACATTTCGGGATATTCTGAATTCAGTTATTTAGTTTTTATTTATGCCTTTATCTTATTTTAACATACTGGAGAGTTTTTAACTTTAAGACTCTGTCTCTTAGAAACATGCTTATTTAATTTTGGGATTTTCTAAATCAAAAACATGAACAAACAAACTAAAAACACCCCTACCACTGTTCAAAACTACATTTATCATTAAATTTAATTAAATTGACTTTAACAGATTCTAAAAAATTGGTAGATTATCAGCTTGTTTTATATATAAAAGGCATCAATGACTAAAAATAAAACTTCAGGGAAACCATACCCCCACCTCCCCAGCCCATGTGGTCTAAATAAAACCTTTGACGTGTGGCAGCTGAAGCTGTTGGTACACTCCAGGCTCAGGGGAAAGCAGCGAGCTTTAATGACTGCAACAGACTGTAAATGTACAACTAGATTTACAGCTTGAAGAGCACTTCTGGCTTTAAGGTAAAAATTTCATGTTTTTATTTTATTTTATTGAGAATTTAGAAATGTGTTTTGTAGAAATCTTTGGTTAGTAGTTTGTATGAGAAACATGGTGCTGTCTACAACTTCTGAAATAACCCGAACAGGAAATTAATAAGTTCGATTTCAATTTAAATTAAAACTATGAGAAGTTATTTTTAAACAAATACTTTTGGTGGGATTACAGTATTGTGCAAAAGTTTTAAACCACCTCATTTTTTCCCRTTGCCTTCCAAAGAGCCAAACTTTCTGTAATCATTTAAAGTAGTCTGATCAATAGTTAAAAGATCTTTYAAATGTTTTATTTCAACTTTGTTCACAGTTATGTACATGACCATATTTGATGTAAAAAAAAAAAAAAGAAGTGGAGAACAAAAGTCAAACTGTGCAATTGTGACTGAGGAAAGAAGTCAAACTCTTAGCAGAAATATTGAAGAAATGTTGCTTAAGACCTCCTTAAAAGATAACAAAAATATCTGGCTCCTAGAAGCAAAAAAGAGGGATAAATTAAACATCTGTGTATCTCCCGACAGCTGCTTTCAATTTATTCAAACTGTTTTAATAAAATAATCAGTATTGGCCTACAGAGCTTCCAGAAGGCCTGACTATCACTACTTATATTTATTGTGAACAGTGATGAAAGTCAGCACAAAGTTTATTGTTACAGACACACAATCTTTGGTTGAGACTATCCAGACAACTCATAATCTTTACCGAGGCAGTTTCAAGTCATTCCCGGAGCAGTTTTGGCCAAGGCCAGCCATGAAATGACTGATGGTCTTCTACTGCATCACAAATACTTTCCACAGCTGTACAGATGTGTGCTTGGAGTTTTGTCTTTTGACAGAACAAAAGCAGAACTTATCAAACAAGTTCCTGAACTGATAACAGTGCAGGGCGGAGTCTAGGTTAATATAAATTACCAAATTTAACTAAATTAAATCACCCAAAATAGAACAGACCTTTCCTTCTGGGTCAGTGTATCTTTTGGTCATTCGTTTTTCATCGGAGAAACATGTATTAAAAAACTAGAAACAAGTGGATATTTGATTTTTTTTAAAAATACAAAGCGATTTTCATTCTTAGTGTCAAAAAGAGATGAGCGAAATTTTTAAAATGATTTGAGTTTCATTTTTGGTTTCAGATAGCAAATAAGAAAATTACTTTAAAACAGAAATGAAAAAAGCTTTGTTTGTTCATAATCCCTWACTGGTCGTGCCRACTTACTGTATCCCTAAAATARTCTGTTTCACCACCAGAAGAGGTGCTCGCAATATCAACGTTATTCAATGAACATCCCATTACAAGTAAAAAGCATTGAYGTTGACTTTGGTATCGAGTACATTTGCCAAGTATTTACTTGGTRTCAGATCAATATMAAAGTCGTAGTATCGCCCCCTCGATGAAAGGAAAACTCCGAGGACGCAAACTGACGGAAAAAAAGAAAAAAGCACAGATTTTGTCAAAACTCAGGAGCGAAAAAACCCTTTCTACTCACAGAACAACAATCGTACAACATAATGGAATTAAATGTGTCTTATTTTGCTTTTTATTCAGAGAAATGGAGGTGAAGTGGAGCAATAGCCAATGTATTCAGTAAAAGATATTTATTTGGCCAAAAGCCACATGAAGTATCTCTGCAAAACCTTTGGTCTCAAAGTGACAGTCATCATACAACTCATTATGGACATATTTCTCTGTGTTTCAGTCTTTTTATTTACAGAAATTAGTGTTTCATTATGCAGAGCTGCCAGCTGAGCACCCCCTACTGTAAAGTCGTAGAATAAAAAACAAACAAGCTTTTTTTCATTTCTGTCTTAAAGTTATTTTCTTATTTGCTATCCAAAACAGAAAATTAAACTGAAATCATTTTTAAAATTTTGTTCGTCTCTTTTTGACACTAATAATGAGAAATGCTTTGT